ACTTCCAGACCTTTTATGTCCCCCTCTTCTCCACGCACACCCACCGTACTCCGACGGCGACGGAGATGGCGGGGAGCGCAGTGGCCAACAAGGCTAAACAGCCCGTCTACGTGTGACACACACGATCTGGTTACATTTAATGAGGGTGGCTCGGATCTCCCATAAGTAGGAATGGTATAAGGACAACATTAAGGAGTCATTACAGTCTGACCCTCAGTCCTGAAAAGAACCGAGATGGTCTGTCAACCATCGGTCCGAAACTCTTACAGCCACAACTCTTAACGCGTCGTGATAGGCTAGTTTCTGCATACACGTGTCTGGATGTGCTGACCCTTCAACCGACTTCACCCACTCTGACCACTTCCCACTGAGTGTTGATAGTCAGGTGTCGACCTTCTAGGCCATGATTGGTAGCGTGTCGTAATTAATTTACGCTCGCTAGATACAAAACCTACTAAGCTGTTCTGTTGCTGGAGTGGAAGTCTACGGATCGATTCGCCGGCTCCTGCACTATTTGCGTAAAGCAAATACAGTCTAGGCTGCACGCACCTCGCCCTTCCGAAAGCTGCCTAGCTTTGACATACATGCATCGGGCTAACTGCGCTCGCACTTGATTCGGAAATCCTAAAGGCCTGGGTGACGGTTTATGGTCTATAGCTCTATCCGGCGCGTTGAGACCATACGCGCAGGGAACCATAGTTGCGTAACCACGTATAAAGGGGCTGCAAGACTGAAAGCACCTTCAAAAATCCCACGAACTATGGCCCTATCGGGCTGCCCCGCAAGCACAGGGAAGTGGAGGGAATCCTACTGGTCACTTACGCTTCGCGCTGAGTGGGAACCAGCCACGTACAGTAGGTGGGCTAACTCATGAAATGTCAATCGAAATTCCAAAGTGCGGTTCCGCTTCCGAAGGATTAATTAAGTAGGGTTGTCAAACTAATTATCTTGCAACGTAATTCTATAATAGTTCCGTTACTTCAGGATGCTAACCAATGAACAAACTTCCTTTCGGCTGCATGCACAAACTATGCTCTGTGAACAATGACTACTTAAGTAGCATCCATTTTTTCTAATTGCTTTTCGACACCCTTAAAAATTCAATTATATTTCATGGAAAACATGCGTAAAAATATTGATTCTTTTGGTTGTTTGGTAGAAAATTACGTCTTCTTACAATTTTATACTCAAAAGAGGGGTATAATTGGGTTTTAAAAAACTTTTCCAGGTAACAATCGGGAGATGGCACCCAAAAAATCCGTTACCTAGAAATAATACCTTTAACAGTGGACTCAAACACCGTCAGGCTATATCAGCGGTTGCATGCCTACTTTCCCGCACTACTTGGACTTTCCGCGACGGCCTAACATGGGCTGGCCGAACGAAAATCGCGGGAGGTTACAGGGACAATGGTCGCTGTTACTCTTTTCTAATTCCCGAATAATTTTGAACCCGACCTGTCCTTATACCTGCATTCAGGATTTCCAAACTGCAAGCCGTATATTTTCCGCGTACGGGAAACCATACATTTCTCTTCGGTATTAAAAGAAGACTATATGGAGTTTATAAAATTTAAATGTGCATTTGAGGCATATTGATAACTTTGCAAGCCGCATTATTAAATTCAGAGTCATGTCGTTTTGTAAACGGCCATTTCGCGGCATTAAAAAATCTCACAATTAGAAACTTTTTAAAACCGAAGTATACCCTTCTTTCGAGTACAAAATTGGAAGAAAACTTACTTTTCTACCGAATATAAAGAAGAATGAATACTTTTATGCATGTATCCCATAAAATATAACTGAATTTTTAAGGGTATCGAAAAGCAATTAGAAAAATGGATGCTACTTAAGTAGCCATTGTTTACCGAGTATGGTTTTTGTATGCGGCCGGAAAGGTGTTCATTCAAAAACCGACATCCTGAGGTAACTGAAATATTATAGAATTATGCTGCACAATGATCAGTTTTACAACTCTGCTTAATTAATCTTTTCGAAACGAAAACGCATTGCGGAATTTCGATTGACATTCCATGAGGTGGCCCACCTACTGCATGTAGGTTCGGCGAAGAGCGGCGCTAACGACTGATAGCTAAGACTATCAAGACCCATACACTGCCATCGTCGGGAGAAGTCGGTGAGCTGTATCGTTCTCATTCCTTTAGTTTGGTTCATTCCCTTCAACAAACTGTCAAATAAATTCAACCAAATGCGCCCAATCTGCCGGTGCCAAAATCGTGCGCCTTGAGGCATTCGGCATAATACCGTTTGGCTTGTTAGTAACATCCTAACCGACTCCTCTGTTGCTCATACACGACCAAATGACCAAATATTGGCTTCCATGGGGTAAAATTACAGTCCTTGCACTCGTCAAGTGTTGTTCCTCGGCGTATCACTATAGCAGTACGGAATACTCGCAATCCCATTTCCAGTTAGGAACCTTCGTAAGCAGTTGAACGGTAAAGGCCAGCTAGTAGTGGGTAAGTGTCATCAACAAAAGAAACAGGAGCAAGGTTTATTTCTGGCCTACCTGCGAGGACTCCCGACTGGAACTTAAAGGCCACATGTGAGCGCTCATATAGAACGGTACTTTTGAGTGGTGGAAGTCAGTGACCCAAAGAGAGAGTTATTTGACCTGCGTGTTCTGAGACCACCTGAGCCGGTACCACGAGACGGCTGGTTGAAGAAGGTGGATATGCCAGAAACGGCCACTCCAGTTCCCCTTTCCCTTTTTATTAATTTTTCTTAACTAATGGCGGTCACTGTAACGCGATGGGCGCAAGAAAAAGGGGAAGACCCCATCTTGCATAACGTTCTTCAGGGGGGAGTTAAATACCACATCCGAACGATCCGGGGTGTTTCTAAAAAAGAGGCTGAGAATTTTCAAATGCTAACCAGTGATTGACACCCGGTTAGAGGAGACAAGATGGCCCGCATAGCAAGGTCGGTGCGAGGAACGTAGGCGCTGATCAAGGGAACTGAACCAGGTTCCAAGGCTTCTGTCTCAGAGGTAGTGACCTGGCTGAGAGGTAGAAGAGACCACATACAACTGTCTTGAACTTGCTATTTGGTGTCTCCACAGTAAGGCCATTATTGTCATTGATATTAGGAGCAGCAACCTTAAGAACTTCCTAATCTGCTCAGCACCAACTTCCCCTGTACTGATCTCACGTAAGAAGAAACGGGCGATAGTTGTCCTCAGACAAAGTCCTTGATAGGAATTTAAGACAGGAATAAAACATAAGACGACCAGCAATACACGGACAGAAAGGTCAATGACAGATGTACTTTAAGCAGCTGAAATGTACAATTGCTAGGTGTGAAAAAGCTGACATCTGCTTAGCATCGACTGGAAATGCATCGGAGATCAGTTTCTCGGGGGTGAAATGTCCTCGTTGAACTGCGTCGCAACAACAACATGTGGAATAGTGCGCCTACTGACTTCGAAAGTATGTGTATGTCCCGGCTAGCCCTTTGTGTCCACGCTTGGAGGAGCTTTCACTGTCAAAAACTCACTTAGCATTATTTTCCTTTAGTCTGAAAAAAGACATTGTCAGAAAAACAAATAACGGAATATTCTTAGTAGAAAAACGTCACTGCAAATGAAGTAAGAAATAAAATACACTCTCCCAGACCACAAGTCCTTAACCAACACTTATGAGAGTAGACAGGTCATAAAAAGTTGCGCAACAAACACAGGCTATATCAAAGGGATCACCAGACTACCTCGCAAAACAGTCATCCTCTTCCATTGTTTCCTACTCTTAACC